CGTATGCAAATGTGGAAGGTGTTAAAGAGGGCATCGACATGTATTTTGCTTCAAAGCCAAGTGATCTCTTTAATCAGGGCATTAGCAACCAGATTTTACGATGGAAAAGCATCATCGATAAGAATAGAGACCATTTCATTTAATAAATGTTTTGTTTAGATATATAAGTTGTTCGGGTTTTTCATCTAAAAAGCGACATTAATTTCTTAATAGTTTAACATGTCAGTATAGCAGCTAGCAACTAATTCGAAAGTTTATCTCAATCGGAAGTCTTTATTAAACCTAATGTGTAAATGACAGAATATATTTTCAACTGGCTAATCACGCATTCTGTTCTTCTTCTAATAATGCACTAATTTCTATTGAATACGAGACAATTTCCATGCGTGAAACAATTTTGAGCCATGCACGATCTATTTATTTTATCGGAAGTATGTCTGCGTGAGAAAGTTGCAGTATTAGGGCGCAAAATTACAAGGTATAATGCACGAAAATTGTGACTATATCAGTTCCTACGACTGTTTGCATATTTTCAAATCTCTTGTGAAAACGTGGATCGATAATGTACATAAAAGGTAATCTGCATATTCACATTCGGATGTTTTTTGTTGTCGTCATTAACTGTGTATCAGTGATGGCTGGTGTGAAAATGTGGATCGATAAAATTAATCGGCAAATAAGTGATTAGTCAGCACCGCAGCAAGTTACAGACTATATTGTTGACCTTGTTCACTTCTGTTAGAAAACGGCACTTGGACCAATGAAGGTTACTTTGATTGGAATTTCTTCTCAGAGTGCATCTGTACATCGTCCCTCTCGAGAACAACTCCAAACAACGTTTTTCGAAAGCGTATGGAGAGGTCAGAAACGTCGCTTGATGCACTTCTTTGTGAACAGCGACTTGTTGCAATCCTACAACAAAACGATAATGTCACGAAAATCCAGAAGTGTTAAAAAGACTGATTGACTTTATTGTTGTTTCATCTTGCCAAAAGCTCGCACTTCGTAGTGACGATGAGATAGCGGACTCTGTCAATAAAGGTACTTGCAGGGAACAGTTCGATAAGAAGAACTGTTACTTTTATTGAATTTCGCGCAAAGCTATTCGAGAGCTATCTGCACTAGTCGTACCTAATTTTGAAGTGATAGACTAAAGGGAAGGCAGCTAATCAACACCATCCATTGCCAATTCATGCGATACTCATATCTAATAGTTGGATTTGACTGTCACTCTTACAACGCACGCACAGCCCGAAAGCACTAATCGTTGAGTCGCGCTCGGCACCGATAATAAGGTAATTGCTGGAAAGTGTTCGATAACAAAGTAATGACAGGAAGATGCTCTTTGACAAGGTACTACAGGGAACTGTTCTATGACAAGGTACTACAGGGAACTGTTCTATGACAAAGTACTACAGGGAACTGTTCTGTGACAAGGTAAATACAGGAAAATGTTCTATAACAAGGTAACTGCAGGAGAGTGTTTAATTACTTTTTTTTTCACAACGATAAGCTGAGAAGCCATTGGCAAAAACAATTCTTGCGTATATTTTCTGTGTTGTCCAAGACCACTAAAGTAAAATAAATATCGCTGTACATTGACAAAACAATTCACAATCGTAATTTTTTTACACGTGAAGTGAATGAAACTACATGTAAGACAAGGTAGCTGGCGATTGTATTGCACCACGTGGATGGGAAGGCGAAAATCAAGGAAAAGTTTATGGCTTAAGTATGTCAGTGTTCCCAGAAATTCGACTTCTTTGAAGCAAGTGTTTTGTTTGAATTTCGTGCAAAGCTACACGAGGACTATCTGCGCTAGCCGTCCCTAATTTAGCAGTGTAAGAAAACCATTACGGATATAGTACAGATTCTCATATATATATATAGGTTAAGAGCTAAACAATCACAGTAAGATGGGTTTTCATTCGAACTTTGTGGAAACAGGTAAACTATAACAAGTTATTGTGAAACAACTAATAAAAATCTCGGAAATAAGACCCAGTATTCTACAACTTGAACGTTAGAACAAATATTATTAATGTAATGTAACATCACAAGGCGGGATCACTGCGAAAACAGCCATCCTTGTAGAACTATTGAGATGTTTAAATTCGGGTTTATTGCAAAAAAATATTTCACACAAATCTCTAATCTAGTTTAGACGGCATACCATGTTCATGTCGATACCGTTAGTATAAGTCCAGGCATGTTGGAAGTATTCCTCCAACCTCTGTCTGAGCGGATTTGGAATCTGGTGAAACCGGATAAACTCCTTCACCCGGAGCAGCTGGGTGTGGTAACGAGCGGTTCCAGAATACAGCCTTTGAATGATTGCAGACACATTGCCAAAGATGCTAGCATACATTAAAGCTAAAGAAAAATGTTTAATTAGTTTAATACAACAATAATTAAAGCCGAATGCTATCTAGATTATAAGATACTACTAAAAAACAAACACAAAAAATCAACTAAAACCCAAACTTTGCCATTGGGACAACAAATATAATTACCATCATTATGTTCAACTGTCATTATTTTTTGATAGGCTCAATAAAATATTAAAATTAAAGAGTTGATGTAGTTGATTACTTAGAGATATTTTCCGACATCCTACAGCCATGAAAGGTAAAGTTATGTGGACTAAAAACTTTACACAATCTTTATTAATGTATTTTCAATAATATCTTCCACAAAGTGAACTGCCAAAAGCATGACCAGTGGAGGTTTGTCGTTTTAAGCACTGTCAAATCTAATGGGAACAGTTAAGTTTGTGGTTGGTAGATAAATTCGTTAATAACTTTTAAAATAAAATCACACTGGTAGTATGAGAATAATAAGATTAAATTAAGTCACTTTGTTTCCGCGTCCGCTTGTAGATGTTTATTAACCGATACATTTCAAAGATGTAAAAGCAGTTTTTAATATTGTTTTCTGCGTAACGGTATTTACTAATTCTAAAGTGTACACAACAACAAGAAGCAACGAATAGGAGGTTTTGTTATTACTCGAATATTTTACTAAATTCACAATCAGTTTTATATCTTAAACTGGGAACAAAATTATTATGTACACAAATAGTTTAAAAAAATCAAGATGTATTAGCTACGTTACAAGAGTCCAATTACTAGTGACAAACTAGTTGCTAAAGGACCTAAGAAGACATAGAAAGTAAGAAAGTATAAGTTTGTTTGTTTTTTGAATTTCGCGCAAAGCTACACGAGGGCTATCTGTGCTAGCCGTCCCTAATTTAGCAGTGTAAGGCAGCTAGTCATCACCACCCACCGCCAACTCTTGGGCTACTCTTTTACCAACGAGTAGTGGGATTGACCGTCACATTATAACACCCCCAGGGATTCGAACCCGCGACCTTCAGATTGCGAGTCGAGTGCCTTAACCACCTGGCCATGCCGGGCCAGAAAGTATAAGACATTGTAAAATATACTAGTATGTAATTGAAGGACGGATCCAAAGAGTAACAAGAACATGTTTTGCTGCCATAGAGGCTATGATACTCTCAATACTAACCCTCACGATACAGCATTTTATGATTAATTCAAAAAAAATCTGTACTAAATTATCACTGAAATTCTATCGCCATAAATGGTTTCCAACAGTAAATCGTGCGGAAGAAGTTAAATCACGGATCTGAAAATTATGTTTATAAAATGTATACTAGTGAGGTAACATATATGAAAGATGTAGAATAATGATACAAATCAATGCTTTGTACAAGATAACGTTAAAAGAAACTAAAACAACACAAAAGATCCTCACTTCTATGAAGTCGGTAATAAACACAGTTCAGTACAAGATACTGGTGCTATTGCTACAAGTTAAGAGAACATGACCATGGACTATTATCCCTACCCGAGTTATTCTTCTATATTGTTATGGATATGCTCACATTACTGGCAATTTCCTCAAAACCGGATCCACCCTTGTCACTTCTGTTTGCTACACATACGATTCGCGTATTATGTCACTATTTTTAGTTTAATATATCACGAGATTTCTCGGTATTCCATACCGAACAGACGTGTAGAACGGCGTGTCGTTGTTGCCAAGTCCGATTGTTATGTAGCATTTGAACAGAAAGTTAAAGAATACGAAAATGATAAATTTGGAACGTTTTGCAAGAGAGATTCCATGAATATCTAAAGAGCAAAAGGTCATCTTAAGAGACATTTAAATGGGGATTTGAAATAATGCTGGAAAGCATAAATGGAGAAAATACTTTCAAAGCACGGGGATAAGCAGAGATCATCATCGTGATTGATCTGTGCAGAATGGAATGTATGAATTTAAAGACACATATTAATTACTTTACTGACATTCTGAAAACAAAAAAATATATCCCTGAACTCAATGAATGGCATGCAGTTTGTACTTTTTGTAATTTCGCACCCACACACCAAATATTACGAATTACAGAGTGTTAGCACTTTTTGTAGTTGCACACCCACATACCAAATATCCATTAAAAGTATTAACTATTTTCTGATGTTAAAATGAGATTTCAAGTAGGGACTCTGTTTTTATTTATCATTAGTGTCTAATTTTCTAAGAAGAATTATTCATATTAGCAATCTTCGCATTTCTTTCCATGTTATTAAGTGTTCTTTTTCAGCATTGTGGTCACTGAACAGTTTCTCGCTGTCTTCGGCCATGTTTATAGGCGTGTTTCAATTTCTTAAAAAACAGTGCCTACTGTTCAGAAGATTTTCCTTTCATGAATTAACGCAAATGAAGGTTTTAGAGTAACGTCTCGCCTCGTTAAATGACATAATACACATATCGTATCTTTAGCGAAGAAAAGTGGGTTTGTGGTATCGTATTTTTAGGTATTGTCTTACATTTGAGTAAGCCTAAAAGAAAATGACTATTAACTCTATGTATCTCAAATGATTAACTACCTGTATAAATACAACTATCTTTGCTAACTTACATCCAATGAGCATAATGAGGATTGAAAAGATTTTTTCCATATTGGTGTTTGGAGAGACGTTGCCGAATCCCACACTGGTCAGGCTACTGAAGGTGAAGTACAATGCTGTCACATACTTTGCTTTGATGCTAGGTCCTCCATTAGAGTTGTTGTAGAACTGGTGAGTTGAATTCGCTAGGTGGTCCAGCCATCCTATCTTAGGATTGAGTAGAGGGCGCTCGGCGTTGCCGATGGCGTACCATATGCAGGCGAGCCAATGAGCAATTAGCGCGAAGGTAGCCATGAGCAGAAGCAACACAGCAGCTCCATACTCTGAGTAGCGGTCGATTTTTCTTGCCACCCTCACCAATCGTAGAAGTCGAGCTGTCTTCAACAGACCAATCAATGTTGTGGTCTGTACACAAGAAAAAAACATGGACGACCACGATTTCATTTGAAAATTTTTAATTTTTCCTAATAAACCTCCACTGTGTAGGGTGGGAGATGTCATTATGTGATGTCAAGAGTGGGTAAAAACTTAAAAATATATCCAGAAATTTGTGAATAATATGTCCTTGTAAGTCTGATTATCATCGTAATACTTTAGTAATGAAGGGAAAGACGGTTGTTAGGGCAGCGAAAAACATTTGTATTTAGAGGTGTCTATTATTTCAGGACACTCTTATTTCATCTGGAAGTATGATGTATTGAAACAGATTAATAACAAGGAGACAAAATCAGAATCATATTAAAAAACATCAAATTTACGAAATAATGATAAAATTAACAGTTGTTTATACACGTTCTCGTTTGTTTTATGAACTCGAACGTTTTCATATTGTATTCTGATTGTGTCTCTTATGCACCAAACTGTTTTCATACACCAGTAAGAAACAACACTAAATTTGGAAATCAATTTTATGTTAGGCGTAACTTTTTTACCAGTAAGAAACAACATTACATTTAGAAATTAAAAGTTAAGCCAAAGATTTATATACGCAGTTTTACATAAGCATGCTTTATCTTAGAAATCATAGTTCATACATCATTATTTCTGGTTACTTCCGGACTCCAACTAATTTATTGCAGTATTTGTGTAGAAAAGAATAAACAAAATTAATTTTATTTCGCTATCAAGCACCATCTTTAAATCTTCCTCTGCGTCTACAAACTGATTTACTATTCCCCCAAAGTTACGTAAATACTAACAGCACCAGAAGTCAAGATCACATGGCGAGACACTGTTTCCAAAGGTATTTATGTTGGGACCAATCACCACGATTTACTATGAATTTTGTGTATCAATTGAGCTATAGCTTTTACACAAATAAAGATGGGGAGAAGATCGTTTTTAGCTAATATCAGTTTTCAAATCTAAATTAAGAAGAAATACCAACATGTAACAGAATTTTACACTAGTTAAAATCTCTTAATCAATACGTGGAATCATTTGAAATTTAAGTACAGCACCCTGATTTAAACCAAGTTGCTCATTTCAGATTTTTTTTTAATTGTTAACTAACTTAAGAATCTTAAGTATGTAGACATTTACTCAAACAGTATATTTCTCGAGCGATTAACGATAAGGCGGTGTTTATTTGCAATATTATACATTTGGAAACTATGCTTTCAATTGGCAAAGGCTATCTTGGTAAAAAAAAAACATTTTTAAAAGTTTTTTTCAACATTTATCACTTCAAAATTCCGTTAGAGTTTGTTTTTTTTATCAGAGCACAATGGACTTCTACCTAACAAGCACAGAATTCTACACACACACACACACACACACTCGTCATGCATAGTGAACACTAAAGTACGAGTTTCAAAATTGATTAACAAATGGTTAGTGGAGGTGACGATAAAATCGTTTCGACGAGAATGAGACAGCGATGTTACTTCTGCTCGTGCTTGCTCCCGCACTGATTGATTATTGGCCGCCAGGTGACACTGATGCATGCACTTCGGCTTCATCGAGAAACAAAAAAATAAGAAACGGGGAAACCTAATTTATGGAAAAATTCTCAGAAAGTTATGATTAATACCAGATTTTTTCTTTGGCAGGCAAATTTCACAATTGACATTCAAAGAAACATGCCGAAAAAATAACATTCGAAAAGTCATGTCTTGAAATTATATATTTAGTACGCCAAAGTCAGTCAATTTCATCATATAGCTTGTTAATACTGAGAAAGGATATTACGTAGTCATTTCCACATAATATTTCATCATTAAAGTGTTGATATTCATGCAGGCAAAGATATTAAAAATATCCAGTAAGTAAACTTTGACAAGCATAGTTTACAAAACTACTTCGACACTCCATGCAATCCGTCAAAACATGTTTTCAAATCGTACTCCAAAAGATGAAAATCGCATAATAAAGTAAGAACTGACAGTCACATAAAAATCTTTGTAAATAATATTTCGAAAGTAAACACCACATAATTAATACTCATATATATATATATATATATATACAGCTAAAGCAGTAAGGCGACATTCCTACACTCAGTTAAAAAATACATTATTTTACAGTCAAGATTATGGCTCTGTATATCAAACCAGTTTTCGAAGAATAGGTCTCGTATAAATCCAATAATATTACGTATATGTTTACACTGATTCATTATTAGATGAGAACATATTAAAAACCCACAATTCAGATTTTGTAACACATTCAAATACTTAACCATCAGTATATTTAGCTCTACCAACTAACATTTACATCACTAGGTGTAACTGACAGCTTCCAGGTTGATGACTTTTCCAAAAGGCCTATACAATGGAGACTAGAAATTAAGTCATTTTAACAAAGATGTTAAATAGCAAACAAACAACTTAAGCTATTGACATACTGACAACTTGTAACAGGTGACGTTCAAGAGCTCGATCCCTCATAATCTGTTTATGCAAGCTTAGTATTTTAACACAAATAACACAGGAGAGAGAGATACTCAGAAACATATTTTCCTATACAAACCTAGTAGGTCAGTTTTGAAAGTAATAAATATAATACTGTAGAAACAAAATAACCGACTGTACATGATCTTACCTTTCAGTATTGCATAAAGTTTTGTCTTGTGTGTGTGTGTGTGTGTGTTGGTGAGGGTGTATTCAGGTTCTGGCCACTTTATTAGGATCTACCTAATAACAGGTTAGTCCATCTTTTGCATAGAATCCACAAGGTGTTCGAAGGAGTTCTGAGCGTTTCTCCATTCGGTCATTGATATTATTCGTAATTCATGGAACAAAGAAGACAGAGGATAGCAATGGCGAAAGCGTCTTTTAAGTTCATCCCACAATAAGTTCAACTGGATCGGAATTCGGGAATTATGGTGACCATGAGAGATAACTGAAGTCTTCGTCATGTTCTTCAAAGCATGTGCGTACAATGTGGGCATGGTGAGTGGTAGTATTGTCAACTTGGAAGTAGGTGTCTCTATCTGGGTACACACGAGTAATCGCTGGATGGCTCTTGATCAGAAATGAGGTAAGCAGTGGCATTCATTCTGCCTTCTAAAGGGATCAAAAAGCGAGGGTATGTTAGGAAAAGATGTTCCAAAAGATGAATCCACCACCAGAGGCTTGGACAGCTGGAACCACACAAGAGGGGCGAGTTATTATTGTGGCTTCTTACAATTCTGTTTTCTTCCATTAGTACAATAAAGGGGTAGAGCATGATTCCATGAACAGCATAACCTTTCACAGGTCCTAATTACTCCAATGTTTATGCTCTTTATATCATTTAAGGCGCTTTTTCTTGTTGGTAACCCATTTTGCAACTTTCTTCGCAAAGAACGTCTGAAGATGGGTGTGGATTGCCCTGCACTAAATTTCTGTCAGTTAGCGTATTGTTTGATGAAGGTTGGACTTTAACATACTGTCTAACCACCTTCTGTCACTACGTGTTTACGGCCACAATTCTCCCTCCTAACAGACATTTTCTTCAACTTTTTCCATTGCTGATAAACTCGAATGACCAATTTCTTGGAGCAACATACCCATGCAACTGTCTTGACAAATGTGGCACATGCTAGACTTGCACAAACTATCATGTTTCTTTAGAACACTGCAATACCTTTTCCATTCTCCATACCTGTTAAACTGGCTGCAAATATCCTTGTTCTTGTTCCCCAGTCATTTATAGTACTGCAGTGATAACCTGACACATCGTGTGATCAACCTAATTTGTACCTGTAGTTGAGGTCAGATACAAGTCGAAAAAGGTACATTGTTTCTAATAAAGTGGTCAGACCCTTTATATTAGAATATTAATTATTATATGACACTGCATTTCTCTTAAATGTTGAGTATCACATTAACTTGAAAGAACAGTATTTGGTATATCAATTTGTATTTCATTTTGGTTTCTTGTTATTACATTACTTTCTACTTATTCTTAAACGTTCATAGCTTTAATTATTTTAACGAAAAAGAATGATATAAGAAGGTTTAAAATAAAAGCTTTAAACTTTAATCAGTATATAAATGTGTACCTAAATATTAAACTATTAAAGTTTAGAGTCGCATTGCAATGGGTAACGAAAATTGTTATTATTAGTATAACACAGTAAAAAATTTGCAACGTTTCGACATCATCAGGTACATGATGATGACAAAATCTTATCGAAACGCTGTATATTTGTTATTACGTTAAACTTGTAATAGATTTCATTATTACTCATTCAATCCACCTCTAAAGCTTATTAGTCATAAAATGGGTTCCTCGATATCAAATTAAATTATTAGATTGAGTCTTGCTTTATTACAAGTAAATATATAGAACAATATGACAAAGATTCTATTTCTATTTACCTAATGACCCCTAAAATAGAGGAGTAAAATTTCACAAACTGGCATTCATTCAAATCGACCAGTAATGGCAAATGAATTGGTTCCAAAATGTGCATTAGAAACAATATTAATTGGGCAAAAAAAAAAAATCTAACAGTCAGTAAAATGGCTGATGTTTCTTCAAATTTGTCATGACATAATTCCCAAGAAGTGATCTTCCGAAAGCCTTAAATTGGGATTCTATTAAACAGAAACTATTTAATAAATTTATTTCTTCTTGGCTGAAACTACTGAAATGCAAAGAGAGAAATTATTAGCCCATTTAAACTTTAAAGCAAGTAAAGGAGATAAAATAGATATCGTAGAGCTGTAGCTAGTCCACACTTTGAACTTAAGTCACTGAATGAAACGAAGGAAAGTTCTGGTAAAAGACTATCATTACTTTAAGTTTGAATTTTATTATGTTTAACACCCTACATATGTATGCTCACATCGATAATGGAAAGTACATAATTTGTGTGTGTCAGAGTGAGAGTATATATTCTCAAATGGACTAAGAAAAGATTAGTCTGTTAGAAAATACGAGAAATTGATCACTCTCGCAACAGTAACCACTTATTATCACATCAGGCTACTCAGAGCGATTATGTTATTCGCCTATACTCGATTCCCTTTTTTATTATAGAAGCATTAACTATGAAGCCTTTGTTTTGATTATAATCAGAGGCGTCGCTAGGCATTCGAACATATCTGACAGTGTCTCGAATCCCCAGTTGGTGTCTTGAAATGTCAGAACAGAAAACTATGATCAAATATCATACTGAAACGCCGAAAATTCTCGCGTCTATGGGCCCGAGCCTCGAATCTTTTCAGCACCTAGCGACGTCTCTGATTATAATTCATCAATGGAATGAAAGAGAACTTGCCAGAAAACGTAAACACTCACAAGGTGTACTTTGACATTTGTTAGAAAACTAAATCACATGTTTATTGGTTTTGTGTTTCTGTCCAATAAAAAGCACATTATCTTTTTTTTTTTTTCACTTCCTGGTTTAGTTTATATCTAAGCGTTACAAATAAACAATCAGGCAGCACACACGGATGCATTACTAAGTAAATGCTCCATATCCTCCCCAAGCGATTAAGATAGTTTATGATTTGTGAAACAAAACATTAGGAAGTGAAATGAGGAGGACGCTTGAGGTCATCAACTCTCCTGTTTTTTGTTTAGATAATCAGTAATAATACTACGACTACTAAAAATTATCAACAGGACTTCTATCTTAAAATATTCCGAATAAATAAATACATTTTACTTACTATATACTACTGTTTACAGTTTATTAGCATTATTTTTATAATCTGAAATAAAATAAAGCTCCTGATTACCAATACTTGATTTTGCCAATACATATACTGAATACCTTACCTCGTCCGTTTCAGAGCCAAAAAGCAGAAGATCGAATGGAATTGCGGCTACAATGTCTATGATGAACCAACCACGCAAATAGTGGACAGCGATCCGGCCTGGATGACTGACCACTTCTTCATTGGAGTTAACGTAAGTGGTGCGAAAGTTGATGAGTATGTCGATGATAAACATGACATCGACAAGAAGGTCGATGATGACGATGGGGTCGTCGCCGTACTTCTTGTTACGCTTGGTTCTATCTTCATTCAGCAAGAAAGCAGCGACATAAGGAGTGAAAATGGCGGTGTAGATTACCAATAGAAGTATTATCCAATCCCAGAAGGCCTTGAAGGGAGAATAGTGGAGGATAGTCCATTTGTGAACATGAGGTTTCTGTAGCTTGTACTCTGGAAGTACGTCAGCACCCAAAGACAGCACCTGCTCAAAACATTTCCTTATACATATCAAACAGAGCCACATAAGTATCTAAAGTCTAATGGTCTATTATTATGTAACACTTTTACAACCTGAGATTAAACGGCATGGGTTTCAGTAAGATAAGGCAAAAACAACAGATGGTTGTTATTATAATCAGTATTGTTATTAATGAATCACTGCAATAAACATTTATTGTTCAATTTAATTATCTGCATAATAAGGGTTAATCTGATGTTTATACAATTGACTATAGGAAATGTTCAAATAAGAACAATTATTTGGCAACTTGCAATCACAACCAGCTCAATTCCAAATCTAATAAACTGAGGGATACCACGAACTATAATACTATATATAGAAACAAAACTTGTGCTAAAGTTAATTCAATATCATTGAAGTAATGGAAGGAACAACAACAGGAAATCTTAATATTGAAGTTTACAACTTGTTAGAAAAAAATTTTAAGCAATTGCGTTGTACGAAATTGTGAAAATTTGTGCAAAAAAGAAATAGTATAAAATGCAAATGACCAAAGTTTTACTTTTTTGATGAAGAAAAGAGTAAGCCAAAGTAATATAGAATTGAGGAAAAACAAAACAATTGTACGTTTCACAAACACATTTCTTACAACCATGGTTTCGCCAGTAAAGGCATCATCAGGTACAGACTGAAGTGTTTGGTAGCAGGGTTTTTATATACATGTTTAAACAAAGAACCGGAAATGATCTTGACATTCGCCATGGCTGTAATGATGTACTTGTGAAACGTACAACTGTCTTGTTTTTCCTCAATTCTGTAATCATGGAATTTCACCAAGTACCGACGGTTTCAACTATCAATTATGCAAAACAATTTATATATATATATATATATACTTTGTTTTGTTTGATACTGTAATCAGCTTTACAATGGAAATATTATTTATGCAATTAAAACTGCGACGTTTCAGCCATAAGAGCGGTAACGTATGATTAATAACAATTAAAAACAAAAACATTTCTACTGTAAAGCAACTCAAGACTTTAATTCTAATCATCCAGTGGAATTATCGTCTCTTAATACTCAATAATTTTTATATAGTTCGATAGTTTAAGCATAATATTGGAACAGCTAGTAAAACCCAGATGAAATTGAGTTCATTAAACATGAGTTAATCCCGTAAGTTTGAAGAGAGACTAAATTTCTTGCAGTTCGTTAAACCAGTATACTGACGTCTCCTGTTACTTGTGTACTTAGCCTTTAAGTGTTTGTTAAATCACTACACTGACGTCTCCTATCAGGTCTATCCTTCACTCATACACTTGTTCGGTTGCATTTTATTCAGTTGCATGATAAGTATTAGTTTAAACTTATGTTCACTCTTGGATAGGTACACATGAACTTTATAGAAGAAATAACCACGTTTCATCAATGGTAAGCTATGTATGCAGAAATAACGAACAACTACGGACTTTACGTGCTTTCGAAGTATGTTTGTTTTGTTTTTGAATTTCGCGCAAAGCTACACGAGGGCTATCTGCGCTAGCCGTCCCTAATTTAGCAGTGTAAGATTAGAGGGAAAGCAGCTAGTCTTCACCACCCACCGCCAACTCTTGGACTACTCTTTTACCAACAAATAGTGGGATTGACCGTCACATTATAACGCCCCCACGGCTAAAAGGGCGAGCATGTTTGGTGTGACGGGGATGCGAACCCGCGACCCGCAGATTGCGATCGAGTGCCCTGACCACCTGGCCATGCCGGGCCACTTTCGAAATAACAATCACTTTTACATTTTTGTAATTTTTGGCAAAAATACTTTTATAGGAAGAAAAGTTCAAAATTTTTATTAATTAATTTATGCATAAATTAAAATACATTAAACTGCATATCTTGTTTAGTCTTGTTTTTAGGTTTAACTTAAATATTCTAAGCTGATATGAGATATTGTTAGGATTACGGCCGAAAATATCATTAACACCGATTTTTTTAATGAAAGTTAATTGTAATAAAATTCTTATTCTCCATCTGGCTTATAGAATGTATAATACTACTGTAAATATTCAAATTAGCATTTCGAGCTACATTTCATTAACTACTTCATACACAGTTCATTACACATGGCTATAAAGCTTTACCAAATTTCTTTTATTAGCCAACTAATTTCCAGATATTATAAGCTAAACATGTTCGTAAATAGTATTTTCTCCTAGACTGTATGGTAGGGAAAGCCGTGATTAAATTGCATCGTGATAAAAAAAAAAAAAGCACTATAATAATCTCATGGGAAGAACTTACTGCATGAGCGACACCAGGTGATGGGTCGAAGTTGATTGTTTCATCACTGAGACAACCTCCTCCGGGCCTGGTGTCCGTAGAGCACACAGATTCATGCCGTTGAGTGGAATTCTCTCCATTTCCGTTGTCCATTTCACGCTTGAGATAATCGGGTGTTTCTATGCATAACTCGGATACACGTGTACTACTTTCACCATACTGGTTAGACACAGGAAAATGAGAAAGATCCGTGGAGTAACAGTATCCGTTTTTCCACAGTGTGTCGATAGAGGGCACTTTATTATGGCTATTCTGACTACCATTACACACACTGCCATCCTTACGGTTGCTGACGACAAACAACTGGACTTCGCGTGGCAAAGTCTGGATCATTTTAGCTTAAGAAAAACGATAATGCAAACACAGCCACCTGTTTCTAGTCATTATAACTAAATGCAGGACAAGATTGTCTTTACGACGTCTTCAAATAAACAGTCTCCAGAAGCTTGAGCAAAGCCACCTGATCTTTCAAGTTCCAAAAAGACTAAACCTACTACTAGCTATGAAAGTAGCTGTCCTCAAACTTGTTCATCTGTACTGTAACAACGTATTAGATCATAAGATAACAGCGTTTAAGAAGTTACCTAGCGAGGAAGTTTAAAACTGGAAGATCGCATGAAGTGAAAAAAAAGCACTTATAGTGTAACAGGCATTCCAGAAACAAACATGCACCGACCCCGGAGTTCTGAATGTCGAATATGCTGTAATCAAGTGCTTCATCAAGTTTCTTAGCCCTATCTATCGAGTTAGAAGTCTTACAGCTAAAACCAAGTACAGGTGTGTAGGCTAACAGAGAAATGTTGAAAGGCTTCTTTTTTTTTAAATACTAGCACTAGACAAGTACTACCAGCGCCAAATTGTCAATGTGACATGTATGGGTTTATCTACTGTTCTTGGGCTTCATTAAAGATGAAAGTCAAAAGAACTGTTTATGAAAAATTTCTGTGAGAATATCTTACTGGTAGTTTGGGATTGAATATTTTTACCGTTTTTCCGCCCCTTCAGAACATTCACCTGCACGTAAGTGTACAGAAACTAATGCTTACATGAGAATGTGTGAGGGCTTTAATGCGCACGTAATCACTGCAGAAAGTTGTGTCAGAAGTTGACAAAAGAAATATACAGTTTTAGAAAAGTAGAAGTATAGAGCTACAATAATCCCCAGGCGAAACGACGCCTAAACACCCAAAAAATCCTTCGTACCTGATCACTGCAGAAAGTAGTGACAGAAGTTGAGAAAATAGTTTCAGAAGACAGATATTACGTTACCATTGGATTAAAACTATACATATATATATATATATATATATTTGTGATTTTTCCTCATTTGTCAGAAGATGTTCAGACCATCAAAGCCGTTAAGGTTTTTTTTTTTTTTTTTTTTTTACACAACCTGAACAAGAAACAGGACGAACGTAATAAATATCACCTTCATTTCGTTATTGTTGATAAACGATTATATCATTTTTTTTCTTTACTTTCTTCTCCCACAGTTTATCCAATTTTGTAGTTTATATATTTCATTTGATACTTTCAGTACATAGACTAACACCAATATTAGGTTATATTTTTGTTGCTAAGTTGCTAAGCCATTGTTGGAACGCACTGTTACAAAAACGCACTGACTTTTCTATATATACGTTAGAGAGATGGACTGAAAGCGATAAGTCAGTCGTATTACGTTTTAGGTATTGTTACGTCTCCGTTTGTTAATTAATTTTCCGTAACTTCGTACCGACGAAACTTACGCGACACAAGCCTTTACTTGATAAAACTGGTTTATTCTTTCCGAATATAACTTAACCGATACACTCAACAATCGCGCTAAACA